AAAAAAAAAAAAAAAAGTCATCAAAGAAATCTGAAAAAAAAATATATTATGGAAAAAACTAAAATAAACAAGCCTGAGCATTACATCAGAATTTCTTACCAAATTTGAAATAAAAATAAAATATGGAAAACAAATACTAATAATAAAAATAAAAATAAAAAAAGAGAATTAAACTTAGTGGGTGCGCGAGCATGTTTTCGACACCGCCATCTTTTGTGATTTTTCATTTTTTTTTGGCACAGATAAATGCCCTGAAAATTTACAGATGTGTGCTTCACATAATACAAAACCCACTTAAAAAGTTTCAAAAAATAAAATTGTTTAGACCCTGAACTAAAGTGAAAACACAAAGTAAAAAGTGAAAAAATAAGTGGGCGAGCAGGTTTTGACACCACCATCGTTGGCGATTTTTAATTCTTATTTGGCTTAGCCAAATGAATTGAAAATTTACAGGCATGTACCTCACGTCATAGAAAACTCACAAAAAAACATTCCGAAAAAAATAATTATTTTTGGTTACGAAATAATTTTTGGCGGGGGCCAAACGCCGTCAGGTTTGGACCCCGTACTGGACCCCGAACGCCCGTACGACGGAAGTCTGCCTGGGGACCTCCGTACGTACGGGCTGGTGACCCTGTATATATATATATATAATAAAAAATTAAATAAAAATAAAAATAAATAAAAATATGTGAAAATAAATAATACACACTTCATTGTCAAGAATAATTAATAAAGAACAAATATATATAGTTTTTCGTCCATATGATAAAAAGTACCCTTTCCCCCTATAACCCCGGAGATAACCTACTGAAAGCCAAACCCCCGCCTCGGAACTTCGACGCCATCAATATACATTACAGACAATTAACCACACACCTTCATATCCCATAACAACACCATACATAACAGTTATGGGTCCACTAGACGCCTTGACGCAAAAGCAAAAGTAAAATGATTGACGAAAAACGCTTCAAATAAGCTCCCCCCCCAAAAAACGTCTTTTCAAAAAAACAAAACGCACCATGGCCGAAACGTCACCAAACAAAAACATCACTCCGAAACGACACTCTTGCCGCGCCAGAAAACAAACACACACAAAGCAGACAAACCAGATGCGACACTCCCTACTTCCTCCATAGTCGGTCCCCCTCCCTAGAGATCCACATTACTACGTGAACTGGCTCACAAAGAGACAACTTATACACAGCAACCAGACACCATCACCGTTGGGTAACCCACATCGATAACACCATACCCTCCCCCACAGCTACAAGGCACAACGACTGGTACAACCCCTTCACCGTGCTACGCAAAAAGAATTCCCTTCAGCTCCCTGCTATTCCCCTCTCCCCATAAACAAACTCCCAAATGGCTTACCCCCCGCTCTCATGCACACATGAAATCTCCCCTTCCCCCCAAGATGCAGCCACTACCCCACCCCCATCCTATCCCCGCCCACGTACTTCCTCTAATCCTAGCTTGCACTACGGTAAGCTACGATATACATTCATGGCATGCTCTCCCCTATCCTCCTCTAGGATACAACAAATGCCCTCGAGAACGGTCGCTATTACAACTGCTTGCTTGCTAATGCTCCACCGCACCTGCGCCAACTTGCATGTTACAGCCTTCCTCATCTCTTACCACAAGTCTTCTCTGTCTCCGTCCTCGGACGAGCACGCCAACTCGCGAACTGATTTGTCTACCTGGATTTGGTCTAGCACACCATAGTGCCCCAGGCGTTGTGCTTACGCGGTAAGCCACCTGATAACACGGTGAACGGCTACCAACTGTGCTATGGCAGCGACTAATCTCCCAGCGATACCCACCATGACCGCTTAGGTATGAATTGCTAACGCCTTCTCTCTTCCCCCTATGCCTATGCTGCATCAACATTCAACCCCTGACGTCATGCTCTTGAAACCCCCCACGCCCCTCCCCTATTCCTAAAAGGAGCCATTACTAAGCTAACCCCTCTGATGAGCTGCTATGGGTGCTAGGTGGGAAAAAGCGCACTTAAGGGCGTGCACCTCCCCTTCGGCTTTAAGACTTGCTGATTCTAACACCTTCTAACCTACTAATCTCCTAACAGCTCCCTACCTAATCCTCACGCCCCTCACCCCCCACCCACCTCCCCTATGGCATACTGAAATGGTTCTCTCCTTAATAATAGGCGACTAATTAGCATAGAGCTCTATCCTGTTGCTAACTTTTGCGGATGTCGATATGGTC